GAATGGATCCATTACAACACAGTAGGGGGAATGTGAGGAGGGAATCATGGGAGCCCAGAGGCAGGCAGGGGAGGTCAGGGAGTGCTGCCTGGAGGAGATGACTCCCAAGGTGAATCTTAAAGTATGATCAGGCACAGAAACCTTCCACCTTTCAAATTTACTGAGCTGTTGAGGGCTGTGGGTTGAGAAGAACTCAAATAGGAAAACCCACGTGGAGGATCGTTGAATGAGAGTTTCACTCTATGGGAGGGACTGAGGAGTCGGTACCTCGAGGCTGATACCTTGGGACAGCTTTTTGGATTCTCATTCAAGCTCCCTTCCAAGGGCTAAGCTGCTGAAAGATGACCTTGGCAAAATGGCAGGTTGCAGTGGTTCCTGCCCACACTGTGATATTCTTACTTTTCCCCCCAGATTGTGCTTTTCCCTGGGCTTAAGGGGATGGGACACTGATCTCGTCGATTCCCTGGCCGCTCCAGGAAGAAGGGATTAGACAAGGAAGTTTGCCTAAGACTACGAAATGAGCCAGGACTTGAATCCCTGGTGTAAATCTAATCTGAATTCCAGTGAAGGTCAAGGTCAGGGAGGCAGGCACAAGGTCAGAGGGATGCCGTCCCACACCAGGGATTTGTCTCTCTGCAAGACTTGTGGAGAAGCAAACCACATCCCATTTCTGCAAGGTGGTGCTGCGAGGAATGCAGCTGAGGGCTAGAGGTCTCTCCGTCTCCCAAGTCTGGTTTCACCGCTTATTCACCAACTGCTTATTAAGCACGTAAAGCACGTACCATGTGCAAGTCCCACATTTGCTAGTTGAGAAGGTAAGTCACAGACACAGGGGAAGAGAGCTTTAATTGCATATGCGGCCAGAAAGAGGGAAGGCCCCATGAGTGGGGCAGAATGGGTTCTCAAGAACAAGCCGGGTGGGGCTGTTCCAGGGACAACCAGGGGCAGAAATGTCAGCCACCCTAACGCTGCCAAGACGGTGTTTTGAGGCGGGATAAGAATGAATAGAGGTCTTAAGGGGGCGGATTCAAGGACGGAAGGGAACACAGCTCCTCCTTTGGTTCCTGGGCCTATTTCTCTTGACTTTCTGCATGTTTGGGACGCCAGTTGGCTGCTGCTGGCCGGTTTTCTTCCAGTCGCCACAGCTCTGGTTTGTAGGCAGCTCTTTGGCACGGACTCGCCGGGCCACCACGGTCCTTGGCCAACCTCACCCCTGATCATTGTCAGGAAAAGCCCCAGCGGTGTCTAAACACCAAAGAAGGTGCGGCCAGCAAGCTCCAGGCTCTTGGCAGCTTAGATGGTTTCTTTGAGGGGAGAAGCTCCCAGCTGCCGGAGAGAAATTTCTTCCGTCTTCTCTTCTGCATCCTCCTTGCGAAGACCTTGTCGGACTCTGTTGAAATGAAAAGGCAAATGGAAAAATGAGACGGAGAGGCAGAAAAGAAGGGGTGAGAAGCAGACGGTGTGTGCACAGCATTCATGGGTGTGTTTGTGCTACGCGCAAGGCATGCGTCGCTGCTGTCCCCAGGAAGGTGGGGGCCGCAGCAGCCCTCCCTCTAGTTCTCACGGGGCACCTCAGGGAAAGACCGCAAGGTCAAAGAGTTTTCCAGTGAGGACATGCCAAGGTCACCCAACTGGTGAATGGGGCACGAGGCTCAACGAACTTGTAGGTGCCGGGCTTGGCTCCCTGCGGACCAGGCGCTCCGGCAGAGACCCTGGAGGAGTGGGCACTACCAAGGCCCTTCTCCCCCAACCCAGGTAGAGAGTCAGCCAGCCCTGGAGGCAGGGAGGAGAGTGAGGGGAGGGGAGATGGCAGGGAGGTCACCAGGAAAGCCTCCAAGTCCGAGAGCTGCCCCTTGGGGCTTTCTGCTTGACCGGCTGAAGTTTTGTCCTTTTCTTTTATCCGTGTTTCTTTGAAAGGATCTGTGTCTGGGGCGCCTGGGTGGCTCCGTCGGTTACGTGTCCGACTTTGGTTCAGGTCATGATCTCACGGCTCGTGAGTTCGAGCCCCGTGTCTGGCTCCGGGCTGACAGCTGGGAGCCTGGAGCCCACTCTGGATTCTCTGTCTCCCTCTCTCTCTGCCCCTCCCCTGCTCATGCTTTCTCTCTCTCTCTCTCTCTCTCAAAAGAAATATGAAAAAAAATGTTTTATCAGTGTTTTTATCCTTACCTTGTAACTCTTTTATTTCTAATCTCTTAGTTCAATCGTTTAAGCCATTTTTGCGTGTGATTATTGCTTCGATAATCACAAAGAAACACTTTTCTTCTCGCTTTGCTGTCCTCCATGTGTCTTTTCTGCACTTGAAGCCTTTCCTGACTCTGCCCCTTCGGTCCATCCAGCTTATCTGTTGTATCTGTTGTGTGCCTGCGGGGGCTGACGGACGGCCCTTATGTCCCGCCTGCCAGTTTCTCCCCAGTTCTGGCGACAGATTCCCCATCCCTTTCAAAGATAATTCCAAAAAACCCAGAGGCACACATTCTCCAGATCCAACTGCTACAATGCTTAGGCTTGCTCAATATCACTTTTAAAAGTCATCTTATGAGCAAAGATGACCAGAGGCAGCCTGTTGTGTGACCTGAAGTCCATGGTCTTCTTTCTTTTTTTAATGTCTGAAATACAATACAGTCAGCGTTAAAAACATGCCGGGGTCAGCCATGCAACTGGTGTTCACCATGGAGGAGAGGGCGGCAGGAGGTCCCAGCTAACCAATGGCCTGGGCTTTGGCCTTGGTGGAGCGCCAGACCTCTTGCTGCAAGGCTGAGAGCCCATCCCCCACCCCTCCCCTCTCTAAGCTCCCAGTACCAATGGGAGAAGCTCCATGGAAGGTCACTGATTGGATCCTTGGTACTTTGTCCAGGCCCTGCTGCCTCTCATCTGGGTCTTTCCAAGATCATGGCAGGCTTTAAGGAGCGTCAGACCCTTCCTTAGCTTCTAGGCCCCCAGAGGGGCTACCCTGTGTCTGGGAAACGACTTAACTGAATGCTTATAAATGCTTTCCTTGTGTGCCTCTCCCCCTTAATTACCAAAGAAAACCTGCTCAATGTAGACAATTTGAAGATAATTTTTATGTCGAAAAAAATTTTTTAAGTTTTATTTATTTAAGTAGTCTCTGCACTCAACTTGGGGCTCAAACTCAGTCCCCCGAGACTGAGTCGCATGCTTTTCTGACTGAGCCAACCAGACACCTGGAGATAATTTTTAAAATGTAAACCAGCTAGGAAAAAAAATTAAACGTCACTCATACTTTGAGGCAACCACTGTCACCATTTCAACCTATTTCTTTCTCTCTTTTGAGCCCCTATTTCCTTTTTGTTGTTGTTTTGTTTCTTTTTTGTTGTTTAGTTTTGTTTATTTATTTAAGTCATCTCCACACCCAGCGTGGGGCTCAAACTCATGACCTTGAGATCAAGAGTCACATGCTCTACCGACTGAGCCAGCCAGGCACCCCTCGAGTCTCTATTTCCGGACATAATTAAGAAACTATCATAGTTATTTTAATATACTATTTAACCATATATTGTAAATATTCCCATGCCCTTAAAAACTCTTCATCAACATAACTTTTAATTATTGCACAATATATCATAATCTATTTAAATTGTTGGAGATCTGGAGAGTTGACATGTTTTTCCTGATACATCAAGCATGGTGATGAATAGCCTTGTAAATAAACATTTACGTCACACACAATGGCCACATTTCAGCTTATTTCCTCAGGGCAGAATCCTGGAAATGTCATTGCTGCTTAGAAGAATATGAAAAATTTTCCATCTCATGAACAGCAATGCCAAAGAAACTTCCAGAAAAGTTGCAGGACTTTCCTCCTTCCTGTCCCTACATCTTAATTGACTACTACTATGTTTCCATTTTTTTTTTTTTCCTTATTGGGTATTTTAAAATGACCTCTCCCCTGTTTTAATTTGCATTTCTTTCATTATGACTGACCTCAATACCTCTCTTCTGTTTATTTTCAATCAGCATTTCCTTCTTTGTGAATGTGATAGTCTTACTTAAAAGGGTTTTTTGAACAGGGTTATGAGTCAACTGTTCCCTTGCTATGTCGCCTCAAAAATCTGGGGCATAAGTCCAACTGGGTCACAGAGGTTGACCCAACCCCACACCAGGCATTTAGGCCATTCTGAAGAAACACTATCTATCTAGTCTTGTGATTCATGAAGGATCTGGCAACTTACATAGAAATAATTTATTTACAAGTGGGTTTTTGTCAGCCTGTGAAGTGGAGGAAGTTCACTTCCATCGTTACTCCGGGAACCAGCATTAGAAGGTATGTTACAGGGAATCCCTCTCAGCTTGCGGCCATCTTGGAGATGGGTAACTTGAACCTTGGACAAGCCATTTTCTGCTCTTAATCCTCGACACCCAAGGCCTGTGACCAGCACTCGTAATTAGTTGATGAGATTAGAAATTGAGGAAAATGAAATTGGCTGAGGAGTTCTTGAATTCTTATTGTCTCAAATATCAAAAACTCCACTCGACTGACTCGTGAGAGAGGCTATCTCTTGTCTCTGGTTCCCCAGCATCACTATTTCCTACCAAACCAGAACAAGGTGAGTCATTTCTGTCTCATATTTGGTTGGAAGGGAATTGCCAAGAGCTCCTTACAGGTTCCTGAAGAAGCCCATGGACCAGAACACTCGGGAACCTTGCAGAGACATACTGAATGTGGATGTAATTATAAGCCCCTCAGAGGTTCTAAAAATCTTAACTACAAGGAGTCCTACGGCTGACGGAACAGGCTATCATTGTCTATGAATCTTCGAGGGGGAGATATTGCCCCCAGGGGGCAACAAGTGGTTCTTGGTACAGGGGAGGGGACAAAAAATCTGAGATATTACAATGGCTTGTGGTCTTCCAAAGGGTCACGGTTCGTGAATAGATACACAGTACATCTGTGGCATTAAAATGTTATTGGGAGGGAGGGGGTGTGATTAGGGAAAAAAATGTATATACAAAAAGGTCTCTGCAGTGGGGGTGGGGGTGATAATGTAGAAAGGTCTAAATTCCTAAACCCAAGGCCCCATTTAGGCTGAGATTTACTAATGCAAAGGAGACAGAAAGGGTTTTTAAAAATCAGATCACATCAATCCCTTCCTCCAAGTCCTGTGGTCGTTTCTCTACTGATTTAAAAGCCTAAATTCTCAGTCATCTCTACGGCTGCCCCTGCCCCTCTCCAGGCTGGCCTTTCAGGTTCATCACTCAGCTCCT